TGACAATCATTGTACGGAAGCAAAATTTACATCCGTCGGTCACACGGATATGTTCGTATTGTAAGCAAACATGTAAAGTAACACGGCTGTTCCACAATAACTCCGTAAAGCGAACGACGATAGTGTAGCCGAAATAAAAGCATTGTTGAACGCCCACAATAGAGTAACAAACTTTTTTTTATGAATGGCATTGTAAAGCGTTTCTTTTTTTTTCTTAATCAACAGTACAGCTTTGTATTCGTTGGTGATAGATTTTGTTGAACGGTCGTGACTTTAGTTGCTGTGAAATCAAATAGTTTATAAATTTTACCAAGTTAAAGGGTGATAAAATAAATCTAATTTAGCAAAAGTAACTTGTAATTTAGTATCAAGATGAATAAACGTGTTTATTTAAACATGGTGTCGTCATGTGAAGAACAATGTTACTGTTGCGTGAGAGATTATCAGAATTTGAGACGTGAATCCAAAATGTTTTTATTTGGACGTTTAGTAAGTACAATAAAAATTTAATAAACTATAGCCTAAGATACGAACTGTTCAATAAATCCATTATCTTACTAATATTATAAATGCGAATGTTTAGGATGGATGGATGTTTGCTTGAAGGTATCACCAGAACGGCTCCACTGATCGCGATGAAATTTGGCACAGGCATGTAGAACATAGTCTCGAAGTACAAGGTTACTTATTAAGTTTTTTTCTCTAATCTGCGCGGAGTCGCGGACGACTGCTAGTATCGTCTAATAAACCGTCTGCTTCTGTTGTTTGTTTACTTAATTTTAACATCATTCCTTTGAAATTATTTCAATTATCAGATTTTTAAACGTATTTTCCTTAACATTAGATTTTACGACTTTAGTTTTTACTTTTAACAGTGTTTGTGAACGCTATGAATACTATTCATCATAAAAACACATCAAGTTCAATTTATATTTTAAACATAACTAGGATAAGTAGAATTTTAACCTACCAACAGTTATTATGTGTTAATTTTGTACGGTACATTTTTTTACATAATATTTATCCACTCTTAGAATAACAGAATTTAATATTCTGCTTTACAAAAAAATATCTTTATTACACTACTTAAAATTCAATCTAAACTCATTTGCAAATAAACAATTCGTTGCGTAATTAACAATCGTAACAAATACATGTATCCTTATTTCAAGAACTCTTGCTAAACTCAAGAAAAAAAAACGCTTAGTTTTGCAATGAGTCAAAGACATTATTGTAAAGAGCGGATGAAATTTCCACACAATTAGTCACCAGTTAATTCTAAATATTGAAGGTATTTATTACGACAATGAATTTTATTTGAAGTCAACAACTTATATGGGAAAGTTCAATGACCTTGTAAAGACGGAAGAAACAAGGAATGGAGTACTTTGGCAGGCATAAGGACTTTTTAGTGAACATTGTAGTGTATTGATGATGATTCATGAGCAATTATTTTAAAGTAAATTCATACTACCTTTAAATTTAACTTATAAAAAAAGTTTTCGGTTTTAAAAATAATTATAAATTACTGTCGCCCGTGATTCTTTTCTTGGGGAATTAAAAAAAACTTTATTAGTGGCCTATGTGTTTCCAGACTATGCTCTACATTTATTTAAAATTTTAGCTAGACTATACATCCATTTTGGAGATATCTTGTAACAAACATCCATCCATTTATCTAATAATTCGCATTTATAATATTAGTAAGATTTTTGACTTTTCGAATTTGAAAATGATAAATCACCATATAAATAATATGTTAATCTTAGGAATCGTGTATCTGTAATAAAGGCAAGCAGAATATTTTCTATCACGCGTATACAGCGTGAACATTGTAAACCAGAAAATACTAAATCTATATTATTAAGTAAAGCCGTCATATAACTGCTATGTTTTGATTTACAATTATCGTGACATGAATGAAGTTAGCGTACTCTAGAGAATTTAATTTGTATAATCGATTACTAGCTATCGCCCACGACTCCGTCCACACAGAATATTAGGAAGACTAAATTAGTAGCCTATATGTTCTTCCGGACTATGTTCTACATTTGTGCCAAATTTCAGGTAGATCCATGCAGCCGTTCTAGAGATACCTTTAAAGAAACGTCTATCCAACCATCTAAACTTTTGCATTTATAATATTAGTAACATTCAAACAAATATTTAAGTAACTTAAGTTTGTACATAACACTTTTGATGCTGTGATTTTTTATTACCAAGTAGCACTTCAAATGTTTAGAAGAGTTAAGTTAAATGTTCATCATAATCAGCTCACTATACGTCCCCACCGAGTTATGGGTGATTAGGCCATAAGTCAACCACGCTGGCCCAGTGCGGGTTGGTTGATTTCACATATCTTTGAATTTCTTCTTAGATATGTGCAGGTTGCATCACGATGTTTTCCTTCACCGTAAGAACGTCGGATAAATGTACATATGTCAATCGGAAATCGAAAAACACATTGGTACATGGCGGGATTCGAACACAGGACCTGCAGATTGCAAGTCAAGTGCTTGACCACTGAGCCACCGATGCTCAGATGTTCATAATTTAAAAAGAAATTGTTATCCAATCATACATATAATCAATCGTGATTAGTTTAATAATTTTTTACTTCAACTAGAAACCGTTATATTTGGTTGTAAGACTTGTCTTAAACATCATCCGTTATGTAAAAAGTAAGTCATAGGAAATTCCGACAGGAAAGTGTAATCATTTGACGTTGATGATGCAAAAAAGATGAATACCCGAGCTCACTGATGCATCCTAAGCCGGCAAGAAACAAAACACTAATTGAATATAACATATACTTAGTTTTTTTTACCTTACTTCGTAATAATATTATGAATGCGACTTTAAATTATTTTTTAGAATTCGCTCGGAGGTACGGGATTAAGAATTTTTTTTCATAAGAAAAAAATATACTGGGTGTGATTAAAATAAGTAATCTAGACTCTAGCATATATAGCGCCATGAACCATTAACTTATTATCTAGATAATTTGCCTCGTAATTTGTAAAATATTCAAATTAATTATTAAAATAACTAAAATTAAACATGCAATCTATTTTAAAATTTAAATTAAAAATTGCCGATAACTTAATTATATTATTTGCTGATTATAATTTTATTTTGTTATTAAATTAAACCTTAATATTTTCATAAAGACATTTGCATTTATAATATTAGTAAGATAAGACAAAAGATAAATGAACGCATCCGACAGATTAAACAAGTGTAACTACTACATTTCAACTTACATTTATTTATCATTGTGTACATCGCTAATCTTATCAGACCTCATATTTGACCACCGGCTTTACATTTACGACATGCAACATGCAGTTGCAACACATTTAAAATAGTTTCGTAAAACAACGACCGACAATCTTACGATTCCCGATCCTATCTTACGAAATTATTTTACTTAAGAAATATTTTATTACATTTTGTTTTATTAAAGTAATAAAATATCACAAAAGTTGTCAGCGACAAAACAATTGAAACAAAGTTACACTTTAAATAATAATAAAAAAAAAATATACATATATCTCTTTCTTTCCAAAAAGAATAAAAGAGATGGCAGTATGTTTAGCGCGCTGGCAACATTTTTCTATCATTATTTGCTGCGACATTCCTTCTATAGAACGCATTACTATATAATAATGCTAACGAGAAATATCATGAGACTAATTCATAAACAATGAACAGTTCCAGTCTAAGGGGAAAATACTACGTCTTCGAGGAACACCTGAGTATTCATAACTTAAGTTATGTAATATTACTCTGAATGTACTATCGGGGAAACTGACGGTGTTCCACTTACATCGACATTCGTTTGTACGTTAAGCATCGAGACGACCGACGCGGATGCAGTAACGAATAGGATGCAGCTTTAAAAATGTGCCTCTATGATAAAAGGACGTGATTAAATAAATAAATAAAACAAAGGAGTCGTTCGTTCCAAGACGATTACGTATGCGTCTTACCTTGGATTTAAAATCCAAGGTTAAATGCTTAGGTAACATAAAAAGATCTCAGGTAAAAATTGTTTTGTTCTATTCATTGAAATGAACAAAAAACGTTAGTACACCTTATTACTCACCATTATCCAACTGTCGCAAAAAATCATTAAGTACAACGAACTTCTAGAAATTCTAAGAAAAACTTCATTCACTTTCAATTATTTCATCGTAATCCAATCTACGACTTAGTTACAACCGTGATAAATTTAGTGATCGTAAAAAAATTAAAAAAAAACTTTCCAACCGACAAATCCAGATTGAAAAGTTACGACTGAAAAAACATTACAATAAGGTTTTTTATTGCTATTTAATTTTTTTACTGCTTTAAAACTTAAAACAATTTAAATTTTGACTACGTTCTTTTACAATTAATTGCTACTGAGACTGAAATACAATTATTATCTCATTCAAGAAAACAAAGATCAATTATAGTGTACTAAGTAAACAAGCGTCATTGATTTTAATTGTACTATATCATCATTAGCACGTAGATGAAAAAAAAAATAGAATTTAATTAAGAAGCGTTTACACATCGTAATAAAACGTCAACAAATAATAACTAGAAGTGACTACGATAATTGAATACTCTGTTATCTTGAACAAAGCAATTTGAACAAATTAATAGCATTCGGCAGCGTTGGTGCAGCATTGAAAAACAAGAGCTCTTTTATACCAATTAATTCGTGTTCAACGCTTCCAGTAATTGTAGAGAATCCAAAGAGAATTTAATAATACGCTTTCAAACGTCACTACACTCAAAAGAGTTAATTTCTTAACATTTATACGTAATTTATTTATTTTACAAATAAAAAAATAAAAAACCATATAAACCAAAAAGGTTTTAAGACCTTCAATATAGTTCTTAATAACGGAGAATAGGATTATGTTATTTCAAAGAAGTTTACATCCAAATTGTACCTTCAATTGTTTTGAAATGATGTTTCCAGTAAAACGATGCCGTTTTGTCCACAGTTCCATTCGGTGACGGACAAGCGGTCTCAGAACAACGAATTCGGAGAAAATAGTGTAACCATAGTTACCGAAAAGAAGATAGAAGATGACGCATCATCCAGCGGAGAGAATGTTGAAATTGAAGGTATGGACGCAAAACTCTTGTCTTTCAGAACGAATACCAAAGCTAAAGAATTCGAACTGAATAGTTTTGTAAAAGCAAACATTTTGAAAGCATTTATAAATTGCATTTTTTTTTCTTATTGAATTATGAACTGAAACGACACGATAGAATGTTTAAAAGCATTTTAATTTGATCTGTTAGTTATTAATTACATTTACACATATAAATATGCATCTTCGATTTTTTCTTTGTTTCATTACGAATCCGCATTTGCAACCGCATAGAAGCATTTTTATATTGATTTAACATTAGTTCACTAATTATTATTATTACAAGTATGGCCGTGAATGTAGCAGAAATAAACAAACCAAGCACTCACGATGGTCACGGTCATAGATAATTGTGATAAAATATACAATAAATAATTAAACTTCCCAATTCCTTTACTATTAGTTTCATTTTTACGAATGTAGTTTTTTATTGAACCATCAATTGACCTGACCTTACTTAAAGCTACGTGATTAGATCAAAAGATAACACACATTCGCGCAGTTAATACCACTGAACTTAGTAGTCAAGACAACCACGTCACAAACGGAATACTAAACTTTTTCTGATCCTTACCAATATTATAGGAAGACAGCAATCAAATCTTACACATGCTAGTACTAAGTTCTGTACCAGATAACTCATGACGTCGTCTTTGTATCGGTTACGGTACAGAACTTGGATGCATGTCGTAATGTATTGCATTAGATTCCTATGTTAAGGTTACATTATCACGCACACGAACAGTAAACAACTAAAACATATTAAAAATGAAGACCTCGACCGTGTTTGCACGTTCAATGCCAATAAAATGTTAACAATGAACCTGAGAATCACTTTACAAATATCTTTATGTTACTTACTTCTTCACATACTAAACCTCTCCACTTACGGAGTTTTAAACTAAGTTAAAGACAAATTATTAGTAATATTGACTTTAAATATACATCATGAACTCATTACCTTTTTTTCTACGGGGATCGAAGCTGGTAATATATATTTTTTCACATTTGTATGTCTATCAGCATTGATATTTGCGTTCATTTATTTATCACCATCTGCTTTTGTCTCTACTGGACAAAGCCTTCATTCGCTTCTTTGTTTTCTTCTATTTTGATGATATCATGTTCTTCCCTTGTATTATTCATACAAAGAAACTGTATAGTTCTTTTCCTATTCATTTTATTACCTAATACGTAAAATATGTTAAGAATTTAATAACTATTTGCTTCTGTTTATTTTAATTTACTACCAAGTATTTGATTCGTGGTTTTTGATATCTTTACCTTGTAATCATTGTTGACTTTATAATTCATCTTTGTTTCAAGCGTACGGTGAAGTCATTTGTTACCTTTAAAATTACTCATCAGATATTTTATCATCACTTAAAAATCAACGGAAAGATAATTGCGAAATGTTGAATTAAATCAACAAAACGTCATTTTGGAAACATTGACTAATACTGGAAGCGTCTCGATTGCTTTTGTTTTTACTTTTTTCATATCAAGGAAAATCACGTCATAAAAACGTCACCAGTTTACGTCATCGTGTTACTCATAAGTACCGTTAACATCAGATGATGTGTAAATTAAATGACGGTTATTTAAGAGGCGTGTCCGTTATTGTTCCGTGAGTAACCTAGCTAACTTGATGTTAGATTCACACGGGGACACAATAGTGAGACAGAACCGTGCTGCAAATTTTTTAACATACGCTCTGAGACTGAAGCATCCCTAAACAAATTTAAAGGTATGCGTCCATCGGTCCGCGCCGGACTGACGGTCTGCAACAAATTTTAGTTTGTAGTATGATTTTACATAGCGCTGCGTCCATTATCCTAGTCGTCAGCATCGGAAGATGGCATTAGTCAACAAGCAATCCGTTACGAGCCGCGCAGGCCAATGGTCATCATCAGCTCACTATGGGTCCCCACCGAGGGGCTCGGAGCCTACCCTAAGTTAAGGGTGACTAGGCCATTGTCAACCACGCTGTCCAAGTGCGGATTGGTTGACTTCACACATATCTTTGAATTTCTTCTCAAATATGCATGTTGCATCACGATGTTTTGTACACCGTAAGAACGTCGAATAAATATACATTTGTAAATCGGAAATCGAAAAGCACATTGGTACATGGCGGGATTTGAACCCAGGACCTGCAGATTGCAAGTCAAGTGCTTAATCCCTAAGCCACCGAAGCTTTAATGTTCCCTAACGGGCCAATGGACGCGTACTATTATATATCGCTGATCGAAAATTCAAAAATGTTTAGAACCGATAGTTTTACTATAAAGTGTGCGTTCTAAACAATATCAATACTGCTAGTCACTGCTCTAGTACCACGTTCCTTAAGTTACGTATAAGTTATATCAACCTATTTACTGATGGGTTCGTGCACGCGTTCACGTGTATGAAATTTGTTAAAGCGTATTGTTCAAACATTAATTTAATTACCTCTAATATCCAAATATAAAAAGCGCTCAGAATATCCTTTGTTTTTATTTTTGTTAATCTTTTTTCTTTATTTCCAACACGTGCCTTATTATTTGGTTATTACGCTGGTGTTGCAGTTCAAGTTTACCGGTAGTAAAAATAATACATGCCCGACTCAGTCCAACGAGAGGCCCCCCGATGGGCTCCAAACTAATCGGTGCCCACACAGGACAAACCCGTAAGTGTTTAGCCGTTTATTAGTTTAAATCTAACTGTTCAAAAGCCAATATTTATCATTATATTTACATTATCAGATTATTATGTTTACACATAATTGTTAATTAATATACCTAGTTACTTAATTATTATTCAAACTAAATATCAAATTGAAAGTCGGCTTAAAAATGTTAGTTTTTGTGCCCTCTAAAAATCAAAATATTGTACTTAGGCTTGATAGTTAACTTTTAATTTGGTTTAGATTAATATTCAAACCAGTTTTATTCATATTATGAGTTATCAGGAAAAACTCGTAGGTATCCGTTTTAAATAAGACCTTATACCATCAATCTTTTAACAAGCTTTTTTTAACAGCCGTGGGAGATCGTTAAGAATAATGAATTCACGTTTCCGCGGTTATCCACAGCGGAGATATTTTAATTGCGCGATAGATGGCGCACGCGGCGGCTGCGCGTGCGCACGTGACCCACGCGTAGTAACATGTGTTTTAACTGGTTACATTTATATAACCATATGCCATGTGAATTGGTGACATCTGCATATTTAACTAATTTGATTAACTCTATGGTTTTAAAAATGTTTGTATTTAAATCGTATGACATACTAGCTGTCGCTCGCGAATCTGTCCGTGCGGAATTAAAAAAAAACTTTCTTAGTAGCCTTTTTGTTCTTTTAGACTATGCATATACATTTATGCAAAATTTATGAAAAACCCACTACGCAGTTCTAGAGATACCTACAAATAAACATCCATTCATCTATCCATCTCAACAATCGCATTTGAATATTTAATCCGTGAGGTGGCGTACAATCACTAAAATAATATTTAAAATTGTCTAATCCCCTCCCCTATTTTTTACAAAGTAAGTAAATGTCTAAAATACATAGCCGAGTCCAGCTTAAAAATTTGGTATGTTCAATTTTTAAAATTTCAATTCAAATTGTAAAAGCATAATCCAATTAAGTAATTCTCCACAGAGCAGTTTGAAATAACAGTTATTTTCCGTTACTTTAAAATAGTCCATAGCATCACAAGTTTAAAAAGAAAAAGTAAAAAGTCTTCTATCGGATAACTGTTATTTAAATTTCGAATTCGTTCATCATTTAATATTCATTGGTCACGATATTTAAAAAACTCAGTGTCAAGAGCGATATTAAGTAATTCGCTTCGGCTGCTATATGTTTACAACATAACTCACACCCGTAACCCAGAAGCATAGGCAGAGACCACGGACCACCATTTGGCGCGGTTCTAACACATCTCTCTTGCTTCTTCTACATTCTTTTAGACATTATTAGTATGAATCATTTGGCGCGAATGACGTGCTTTCGTTACAAAGTCCAGTGTCAGAATGAATAGTGAGGGGACATAAACGACAACATTTTAGTAAGGCTTGTGTTGAGTCAATACACTGCTACATTTTCAGAATTTCTTCCTAACAATTCATACATCTACGCATTCATATGTGTATTTACTTAGAATCAAATTGTTGTTTATTTCTTTTTTAATTATCTTCAGTAAAATAGAGTTCAAGTTAGATATATGCCAGCTATAACACACACATACATGTCTATATTGGCACGTCAAATTCTGGATTAATCGTATGTCATTTTTTATTACTGTTTAAAAGACAGAAGTAACTAGAAACTAGAACATTAGTTTGTTTTTTGTATTATTTTATATCATTCGTAGATAACAATAATATAAAGTTACTATGTAATTTTTAAAAGATTAAAAATTTTAAAACATTTAATCTGACTTCCTTTATGGAGCAACCGTGACACGCCAACTTTAGTCGTAAAGGGTAAAGCGACCTAATTGCCGTGAAACAAAACCTTCAGACATTATTGGTTCCCTTCGAGGTCAGATCCATAAACCGTAGCCAACGGTCAAGGGTAAGGGTAGTTTGTCTGTCGGAACACGCAGAAAACATTAGTCGAACTTAAATAATTAATTATAAAGAGTACATACATCAACATGAAATTAAACAAAAGCTTATAAATTTTACTAGAGTTAACTCAAACATCGTCCAAATATAGAATAGAAAAGGCTAATTAAAGATACTTATTATTCACATTTCATACTTATGTCGAAACCCAATGTCGGCAGCGACTATTCTGGCGGAATTAAAACAAAATTAGTAGATCACATGTTCTTCTAGACTATGCTCTACATCCCTGTCAAATTTCATCGAGATTCATTGAGACGTTCTGTATATACTTTCAAATAAACATCCATCTAAACATTCGCATTTATAATCATCATCAGTTTACTATACGTCCCCACCGAGGGGCTCGGAGCCT